AGCTTGCTCTCGTAAAAGGAATTTGCTTATAATAGGATAAAAGAGTTTAGCATACTCAAGCAGAAAGAACACAGGAGAAAACAGAAACAGCCACTATTAACTGATTCTCTATTATTACTCTTTTAATGACCCAATTCATATTGTTTGTATAAAGATCTCTAATGCACTTCATTCTCAGAGCACTCTTAAAACGATTATTATCTTCAATAGGAAAACATGAGGCATGCAGAGGCTGACTTGCCAAAGGTTACAGAATTAGCTAAGCAAGAATGTTTTAAATTCAGGCTTCCAACTTGAAGGCTACTGACCATCACCAACACACACAGCAAAATATTACTGGTACTTTCCAGTGATAGTTTTTTGTTTTGTTTTATATGTTGCTTATCTGCTTTGTGATGCTTTGCCTTGGAAAACTAAACAAATACCACGAGATAATATTCCCAATAGCTTGTTTTACCATTCACTGCCATAACTCGTCAGACACAGGCCTACACAAAAATAAGACCTTTTCTCCTGTTTGTCTGAGTTCACGATGGTCTATAAAAGGTTCCTGCTTCTTTAAAAACCCCTTTCTGCTACTTTTGAGGATCATATCAACTACACTACTTCAGAGATAATGCTTATTGCTTTTGCTGGTTCTTCATGTATTACTTCCCTTTGTACAATAGTCTTACCAATTCAAAAGGTGTATTAAAATAAAATTCACTGGGGCTAGTGAGATGGTTTAAGCTAGTGAGATGGCACTTGTCACCAAGCCTGATGACCTGAGTTAGATTCTCTCTAATCTACAGGGAGAGAACTAACTTGTCAAGTTATCCTCCAACTTCCACATGCACAGCATGATATGTACACGCACATACACAATAAATACATGTAACAAAAAGTTTTAAAAGAAAAGAAATTCATTTGGGGGACATAACATTTAGAATATCTAATATCAAGCTTAATATGTAATTAACTTTGAGGACATAATCTATAAAGAGAAAACCAATGTCTGCTTCCCTAAGAGCATTCCAACTTCTTTCTACCTTGATACTACAGCCTTAATTTTATTTGGTTGGTAACATATGTAGGTCCAGTAAAGGAATCATGACTGTTCTAACTAGTCAGTAATGTCATTTCCTTTTGCCAGTGGCTGGTCTTAATTTGGGTATGTTGCTAAGCTCTGATCAACTGACATGCAAAGAAGTCTATTGGTGGGTTTCATTTGAGGAAGGTCATGTTTTCATACCCTTGTCCTCTCTTTCTATTTAGCTGTCTTTTTAAAAGTATTGAGTAAAGACATCACCAGCACTTGATAACAATGAAAAGATGGGAAGTGCTGGATCCTTCCTTCTGTTCCTTCTACTTTCCTGAGTTAATTTTACACCCAACATAATGAACCAAAAAGCTAAAGAGAAAAAAACAGAGCGAGAGAATGTTGTTCATTTCACCTAATTTTTCAAATCATGAATGCATGTTTAAAACTGACAATGTCACTTTTAAATTAGGCAGAAAAATCAGTGACTATAAAAAAGCAAGTGGCTAATAATGCAAAGTACTATATTTTTCAATCAAGCAACATTCAAGGGAGGCAGCCTAGAGGTGTTACTATTCTGAAAAGCAATGAAGAAACAAAGAGGTAAAGCCAACAGTCCCTATCATTTTTGCTTTGTGCCATTTCCAGACTCATAAAGAGAGTAACTGAGAAACCCCAAAGGTGAGGACTGAAAGCTTCTGACAGTTTGAAGGTGTAAGAATTCAAAAAGTACAAAACCACCATATGTGAATTTGAATGGACTGATACCTGAAGAAGAGATAAATATGGGTCATTGTATGCTACTTTATCCCTAAACTATTCGATTCCCAAATAAAATAAGCAAAGGGCAAATAGACAGTCTTTACAATAAAAAGCAGAGCTGTTGGTAATCTTAAAATGCTAAAAGAGGCAAAAAGTGAGCATCAGTACCTACCATTGAAGACCTCCAGTAAATAAACAGCTTTCTACAAAAAAAAAAAAAACTCAAGAGCAATGCCCTAAGAATAAGATGATTCTAAGAGAGACCAACTAACAGAAAGTCTAAAATCATGTTGTAAGTTCTCTTGCCAGATAATAAATTGCCTGTCTGCTTGAAAGTACTCTGGAGAAGATATTGCCACCCAGAGATACCACAATTATTTATATATAGTATCCAGTATTCAGTTAACAATTATAGAACCTCTCAGGAACTAAAGCCAAAAAGATCTAGAAAGAAAAGAAAAAGAATGAAACAAATGGAACCAAAGATGGTCCAGGTACTGAAATTCTCAGACACGGATGTCAAAAATGTGATTAATAAGCTCAAATAGGCTCTGATTAAAAAGGCTTTGATTTTTGTGATTAATAAGCTCATATAATAACATGGAAACTTTCTCAGAACACTAAAACATACTTTAAAAAACTGAAATTCAGGGTAGAAATAACAATGTTACTGCAATATACTGTTGTGTATTACAGAATGGCTAAACTTCAAAACACTGACACTACGGAATGCTAATGGAACAGGAACTCTCAATCAAAATGACAAGCAATTTGGAAGAAAGTTTGGCAATTTTCTATAACATTAACTTGACCTTTACCAGAAGATTCAACTATAATACACCAAAATATTTATTCCAGTTAGGTGAAATATTCACATGAAAATGAAAATATAAATGATGCTAAATACAGAAAAGCCTAAGGATCACAATGAGAAACTCTACCACATGTAACTGAAATCCTAACAGAATGGGGAAGGAAAACTGTAGAAACTACATTTATGATGGCTCATCTTAGTTATCAACTTGACACAACTGGAAAAAGGGATCCTCAACTCAGAAACTGCCTCCATCAGACTGGCCTGTGGCATGTCTGCGGCGAAATTTTGTGGATTACTAATCGACATAAGAGGACCCAAGCCATGTGAGTAGCATAACACGGTGGCTGAATCAAAAGTCTGGGGAGAGTACACCAATATGCAGCATTCTTCCATGGGCTCTGTTTCTGTTCCTGCTTCAGCTCCTGCCCAAGCTTCCCTACATGATGGGCTGCAATCTTTAAGATGCAATAGATCCTTTCCTCACCAACTTGTTTTTGGTTAGCATTTATCAAAGCAACAGAAAGCACAATAGAACAGAGGTAGAGCAATAGCAATGTGGAAATAAAATCAAGTCACATTTAAGTCTAAGTCTCTCTTAGACTTAATACCTCAACCAGGGTATTATTAATACAGAGAAATAAACACTTAAGCATATCTTGCTTAAGCAAATTTAGCTGCAAAACTTAAACATATGCTGAGGTCTGACAAGAAAAAAAGACAAGCATTTGGGAAATACAAGAGAGTACAAAGCCCAAGGAAAAAAAAACCTACAGAAATACAGATACTTGGTACACAAAATAACACTGTAGTTAGTAGCCTTGTACTTGTAAAATTGTTCCTGTGATGCTTTGGCTTTTCTGTGTTTTCCACCTTTTTTTTTTTTTTTTCCATTTTCATGTGACTATTTCACCTAACTGGAGTAAATATTTTGTTTAATTGCTGAATCTTAAAAGCTCAGATAATATTATACGGAATTACTAAACTGTCTTCCAAAGTGTCATTTTGATTAAGTTGCCTGCCTTGGTACTAGACCAACCAGTTATGCATATGAGAAAAAATAAATTTGAATCCTTACTTACACCAGTTAAATGCAAGCAGATTCTAGATCTAAATGTGAATGACACAAGAAGAAAACAGAATACTGTCTTTGATCCCCTCAAGTATCTGAAACCTTTATTTTTAAATAATAAATTTAGCTATGTAAGGTAGGACTAGCCTTAGTGTCTCTATCCTTGTCTCAACATCTAGGCTTACATGTGTACCATCATACCCAGTTCAAAAGAAGTATTAATAAGAACATAAGAATAAAGAAAATTACTAACAAGATTTTATTAGAATCAATGACTTCACCAAAGTACCCTAAGAAAACGAAAATGAAAAGTCATTCTTCAGAGTAAGAGAAACCATTTGCAATAGACATATCTGACAAACCAGAATATATACTGGGCTTCTACAAAACAGATGTATCTGGCACTGCTGGAGGCAACCTAAAAAGCCAAGTCAACATATATAAACGCATTTCAATTCCTAAGACATCAAATATAAGCTCAAAATGAGAGACTTCTGCATATACAGAACAGTTAAAATGTTTCAAACTGATAACACGACATTTTGGTAAAGGTGCACAACAACTAAACTTTCACAAACTACAGACAGAGATAAACGTACCACAGTGTTGGAATATCTCTGAGAGCACCTGATGATGCTGAAACATGCACACTCTAGATCTAAGCTTTCCACACTAAGTATAACTCTCCATGAGGCATATCACCTTCACTAAAACATATTCACTGAAACAATTTCACAGTAATACTAATATCTAAATCTGCAATGAAGTATATAGAATAACTAAGCGACAGTATATTTATACAATGGAAAACTAAACAGCAATGGGAATAACCATCGCTATATACAACAACATAGGTAATATCAAAACACAATTAACAACACCAGAGATAAGACTTAATACATTACAGGCCCATTTATAAAAAGTATAAATACCCACTAAATCATTTTAAACACAAAGCATTATCTTTTAGGGTAAGGAGAGGATTCTAGAGAATGTTTCTTAACTAAGGGAAAATCATATAACCTGTTTATTTTGTAGACATTAATTTATTTGCAAGTATGATGTAATGATTTCATGATTTATACTTAAATTTAAGAGTTTATCCCAATGTTGGAGACTTTGGAAGTAGTAAATATTTTAAGATAATACTGAAAAGATACTAAGGACACTGAGATGAATACTTTTAAATGGTAACATTCAAATCATGTGACTTTACCTTGGCTTTTAAAAGTTACCCCAAATGCTAGTCTCAAAAAATAAAAATAAAAAAAAAATCAAATTATATTTATTGGTATAGCTGTGACTACAATTCTCAGTTGCCATGCTGAACTTACCAGCTGCTGTGTCACCGTCTAACAAATTGTCATCTTCAGAAGTCTGAAAGTCCATAATAGCACCTGCTCCATCTAAGAGCTCCTCATCGCTACTCGCGCTTGTTATGCTGTTGTAGCTGTTTCTATAGTAGCCTCTATGGAACAGCTGTTCAGACTCCATTTAGCTGTCTGGTTATCTGGAAAAAAGGGGAAAATGGCTTCAACATTTTCCCAACATATAACAAAAATCACGTATTCTAACATCACAAAATGAAAACTATGATATCTGTATTAAAAAAATACTAAGTCCATCCACTGTAACAATGGCTAACTCTACGATGCTACAGGGTAAGGGATGGTTTCATTCTTTCTTCTCACTATGCAGATGTAAAAATAAAGAAAAATTCCTTCAAGTAGTGCTGCAAAACAGTCTTCAACAATCCGCTGAGTTGAACTGTGAAGAGCCATGCTTACAGCTTGCAGCTCCCTGCACAGGATGGGGAAGAACTGCAGTATGTGACCACTTGGGTATGCACAGACTGGACCAGGCTTTGCAAAGAAGAGGCCCACAGGGACAGCAACAAATGGCTGAAATGCCAGGGCCTCTTGTGGATTTTACCTGAGGCAAGTACCTAGTTTACCTAATTTTTAAAATTAATCTTGCCACTTAAACATTTTTAAATTAACTTGAAATATTCAAGTATTTGGAGCTCAGGGTCAAAAACATTAACAAGAGAAAAACTGAAAATACTTAAAATTTTTCATTTTTTTCAAAGCAGGTAAAACCAAATTATTATGTTTTCATTGTTTTTACTCTTTGTATGCCAAAAAAACAATACTCCTACATCATTGTTTAAGTATATTGACTCCCATGCTCACCATCAAAATGAGAAGGTAATTATAAAAGTATATTGACACTGGCAATAGACCTGAGAAGGACATGTGTGGGACTCAAACAACCACCGATGTAGTCAAACCAGTAAGGCTGGTAAAGCAAGGCTGCTTCTAAAGTCACAGTAGGAATACAGAGAACATGAAAGAAGCAAAGTTCCTAAACTCCAACCAAGACTCAAGATGGCCTTGACACAATCTCGCCTCCTTGGTACTTTTTCTTCTGCACACAAAAAACTAACATGGCAGCATAGCAGTGCCTTAACAACAAAAGCATTCAGAAGCTACAGCTACTTTGGAAAAATCAAGCAGTACAAAACTAATTTATTATATCCCCTTAAAGATTACTTCAAAGAAGTAATCTGAGAGCTGTTTGAAAGTTTCTATTCTCAGCATCTAGCACAATAACTGAAACAGAATATAGGCAATAAATACCAAGCTTCCCATTCAGCTGAGATCAAAGAGAAATGTATTCCATTTTCAACACATACACACCCCTCAGCAACAATAGTAAGCTAATCTTGAAATAAGCAAAATTTGCAAATTACAAAAAAAATTGCTGCTCTGATTTTTTTTTATTTTTTGTTCTACCCAAACAACCTATTATAATATACTAAGCTTGTCAAAGTATTATGTAAAGCAAGTTTGTAGAGTATATGGAGGTTTGCAAGCATATTTCCCAAATTACAAAGATTAGACTCCAGAGAGAAAGCCTAGTGTACTCTTAGAAATCTCGAATGACCTCTGCGTAGGCACTTTGTCTGCCCCCAACGTGATCTTCGTACTGCAGCCAGTCCTTAAAAAAGTCTGATTAGCAATCTATCCCTATTTCGTATACTAAAATGTTTCAGTCGTTTTTCACAGTTCTTTTGAGACAAACTCTTTAAGAAAGCAGAAAACGTCCCAGGCTGGCGGTCCCTGCCTAGTTCCCAGCTTCATTTTGTAGTGTGTACTTTTTTAGACTCTAGATCACTGCTTTTTCAATCCCCAGTCCCATCAGGTTCTTTCCTGCCTCCTGATTCAAGGCTGTCAGTAGGCCTTCTATCTGTAGCATACCCTTTTCTCCTGATCCAACTTTGCTACTCATTCTTCACATCTCACATCAAAGTATCTATTAATCAGCTAGGTATCTGGCACATTCTTGTAGCCTCAGCTGAGGAACCCTCACCAGAATTATCTGGTGTTCAAGGCCAACCTCAGGAATGTATACCATCTCAAACATCAACAATGAACAAAAGCACTCCTTTAGTTAATAAACCTATCGCTTTAGCACTATCATTGCTAGTATCTTTACAAAAGACCATGCATTAAATAGAGCCAATAACAAGGTTTGGGAACTATTATTCTCTCCACTTAACAAATAAGAAGTCTGAGACACAAAAGGTTTGAATAACCAAAGCCATGCAGGTAGCTAAAAGAAATAAAAAACAAAAAAAATAGCCTACCATAGTACTTAAGTCAAATCTTGCCTATATCCAGTTTTCCTATTAGTTCTTACAGCTCCCCCTGTATAGCACTGGCCAGAGCTGTACGAGATTTTATTTATTAAGATTTAGAATGAATCTTGAGGCCTAGTACTGTTTTCACTACACAGTCAATGGTTAGCAAAGTGTGTGACGTATATATTAAGTATTCAATTTGAGAGCTGGTTGGGGTTTTTTTGTTTTTTACTTTTATGACATGGTCTCATTTAGTCCAGGATGGTCTACCACATAACAGAAATACTTAATTTTGATGTTCAATTATTCAATTTTTCCTCTATGGATAACACTTTTGCTGTTAAAACACATAATACTTTCCTCGCCCTATTTCCCAAAGACCCTGCAAGCAAGTAACATAGGGACTTTTATGGTTCTCAATCAAGTTTTGTTTCTCCTATAAAAATATCTGCAGAGTTGACACTAATGGCTAAGCTCCGAAGGTGTGTCAGTCAACTATGTGTCTACTTTTTCTCGAAAGAAAAAGTAGGTCACAATCTAGAGAAAGAAGTGGATCAAAACCTTCCATGTCAGCAACCAGAAAGAAGGACCAAAAATCTCCAGAACAATGATGGCAGCGAGGGGAAAGCCTATCTAGCCATCTGTACTTATGACATTTAAATATTTTTTTTAAATTTTTACTAGCAAAGCATGGAATGCTTTTCTATGACTTATTGATCAGGGAAGCCCTAGAGGTCTCCAGAACACAGGCTATCGCCACTGCCCTTGGCTATCCACCATGATTACAAGATCCTATTGTGAAGACAGCAAATTTTTTTGCTGAAGAACATAGAGAAATTAATCTCAAACTGACCAGTAAACTTTCTCCCTGATGACTAACTTTCTGAGCAAGTTAGTGAATAGAGAAGACATCAATGGTCTTACCTAGCACTGGGACCATATGCTGCAAAACCTACTTACAAGGCAAAATGTGCTCACTAGGACCTTTTTTTTTTTTTTTTAAACAGTGTTTCTCTGTGTAGCTTGGGCTGTCCTGGAACTTGCTCAATAGACCAGGCTATCCTCAAACTCAGATCTACCTGTCTCTGCCTCCCAAGTCCTGGAATTTAAGGTGTGTAACACCATTGCCTGGCAGTGGTAACGACTTTTAACTAACCACTCTCTAACTGGATCTGAGGCCTTCTCCTCTGACAGAAAATCTCATGTCTGGTAATGAATCCTGGTCAAAGGCTTATGTGGAGGTCTTAGACCCAAGGCTGGAATCTGTTATTATTATTGACAGTTTTGTCAAACTGCCTTCAAAGTATTTATGTTTATACAAACAGGTGCTTCTTTTTTGCAGTTGGCAGCAGTCAACCAGCTGTCCAAAACCAGTCTAAGCACTGAGATAAGAGACTACGTACTTAGCCCTAAACTGGACAGCTATATTAAACACACACACACACACATAGAGACACAGTACCACCACCCCTCCATGGCACAGGAAACATGACAGATGAGGAGGCAAAAAGAACCGAAGAGCTGAGTATACGAAGAAGTGCTGTGAAATGCTGTCTTCTGTGAGACATGGCTGTCACTCTCATGAACTCACAGGTGCTGTGGTTACCTGCATATGACCTATACAAGAACACAGAAGCCCAGATCCGCCCAGTATAAATGGGACAGACACTCTCCAGGCCTCGCCCTTTACTAAGGACCTGTTGGCAATGGATGTGGATAGTTGCAGAGAGAAAAATAATCATTCTGTGAGAATATTGTAATCACCAGTAGATTTGCCATATTCTATCCCCACACACATATGTGCAACCCAAAGTGGACTCAGTGGGAGAAAGAGAGGGAAGGAGGGGATCCACCATTTACTGACCAAATGGGAGAAAAAAAAGAAAGACATAGGTGGAGAGGAAGGAATGCAGGAGGGGATAATGAGCACAGGCATCATCACATTTCACTATATATATACAGATTAAAATTTCAGAAACCATAAAAAGTAAAGTTTATACTAGGTCCCATATTAAAATGTGGCAATTATTTTATTGATTTCAAAATATTTAATCACAAATATTCATAGAACAGCTAAAAAGTATCAGAAATTGATAAATGCAACTTTATTGTGTAATACCATATTTTTATAGGCTGCATAGATTTCGGTAAACTTCGGCGTACATTAAGTACCATCTTCTAGGGAAATATGGTATTTTCTGATAGTTTGATCTGTATTACTACAGTAAAAAACAAAACCCGACCAATGGCACAACTTAACAAAATGCAAAGAAAATGACATCTCACTGTGGTAGATAAGATGAAGTTTCCCTCCCCCACCCTTTCTTTTTTTCTTTCTTTATTTTTATAAAATAAAGGGTGAATAGGATCTAGGTGGGAGAGATGGGAGAAGTTACTGAGGCAAAAGGAAGCAGGAATTGAACTACCACACTGAGACAAGAAAAAAAAATTTAAGTAATTCTAAGAAAGGTTTGATGGTCAGTCTGTATGGGAAATGCATCTATCTCACAAACTAAACTGTAGTAGCTGTTAGAAAAAGAGTCAGGTATGGTGACGTATACCATTAACCCCAGAGACAAGGATAGAGGCAGAGACAGGCAGCTCTCCATGAGATCGAGATGAGCCTGGTCTACAAAACTAGTCCAGGGCTACATAGAGAAACCCTGTCTCAAAACAAAACAAAACAAAACAAAACAAAACAAAACAAAACAAAACAAAACAAAACAAAAGAACGAAAACCTATATGAACATTAACTTGATAAACAAAATCCATTAAATGTCTTTCAAATTTATTCTATTAAAGAATGGTCTTCCACACTATGCAACACTTGTAACAGTCCATGGTTCCAGCACCATAGAATACATGT